GGGCTCAATCCCAGGACCCTGGGATCATGACCTGAGCTGAAGGCAGAGGACGCTTAACGACTGAGCCACCCAGGCGCCCCTAGGCTATCATTTAAATATAGACACATTTTCTATGTGAGCTGTAGTCTCTACATAGCTATTTAGGAACCATGGCATGATATTCAAAGTCGATTTCTTAGTTTAAGGGGGAAAAAAATGAAGATACTATATAGTTTATCTTAAAAAGTTAGTACCTAAATCTCTCAGTATCAACAATTCTAACTACAATAAATGAAATTTCTTCCTTCTTTTGTATTTTGTTATCTGCAAATTCAAAACTTCCAAGAACCCATTTCCATGCAGTGCTCCTTTCTAATATAGTGTTTACAGGTAAGCACATACTCACAAATCTATGGAGTAATCATAGACATTTATCTTAAGAGTGAATAAAGTTTCATTTTACTAAGATCAGCAGAGTCAAAGCACATGCTAACAGTGTAGTTGATGGCCTTCATCAATACACAAATACTGAACAAAAAGGCTACAAATCACCAAACATTCCAGTAGTACTGCAGATGTTTCTGATAAAATGTGACATTTGTTTTTCAAGCAAGATGACTAAAATCGGGCACCTCTGACTATTTGATTATTTCTTCAGGTGGATGATGCTGAAGAGCCTGACAAAACAGGGGAAAATAAAGCACCCAGTAAGTTCCAGTCCGTAGGAGTGCAAGTAGAAGAAGAGAAGTGGTGAGTCCATTTGCATTTGTCCTCTTTCATCTTAATATTGGCAAGTATGGAACCAGTATTTTCCCCTGACATAAACCTACAAGATTCAGTGATATTTTCCATTAAGTTTGGAAGCATTTAGCTGATTCCCTCCTCTACTTTATTACTGGAAACCACTCAATTTAAGTTTTTGCTAGAATATTAGAGTAAGCACATCACATCCACATACACATAAACACTGTGCAGTACTATTGTGTTGCCAAATCATTCTTCAAAAAACCTTCCCATTTTGGACTGTAGACTTTTTAAGAGAAGAGGACTTATCTTATTCCTATTTGTATTCCTAGCACTTAATTGTGTTTGGTGTTTAGTATGCACTCAATGGTGAAGAGGGAAGGAAGGAAGAAGGAAGGAAGGAAGGAAGGAAGGAAGGAAGGAGAAAAGAGAAGATCTATCATTATCTTGAATCACCAGTTCCTTTAGATTGCTCCTTTTTTTTTTAATAATTTTTTTATTGTTATGTTAACCACCATACATTACATCATTAGTTTTTGAGAGATTGCTCTTTAAAATAATCGTACTCTAGAGTCTTAGTATCTAGAATTGGGAAGTTTAGAGTTTCAGAAACTAGAAGGAACTTCTGAAGTCACTACATTCATTTTATGAATGAGAACTTGTTCTAGAGAGGTATGTGAGTTTCTCAATCAAACTGTGAGGTACATGATGGGTAGAACTATGTTTTATTGATAGTAGTACCCCCAGCATCTAGAACTCTGTTTTCACATACTAAGTATACAATATATATTGGTGAATGAAGTAGAACCGCAGTTAAAGTAGGAGAAAGAGCTCTATATTATAAATTAGAGTATCATCTCAACTTTGCCACTCACTTTCTGTGTGTTAATTAGAAGGAATCAGTTGGAGGTCATCCATCCATCCATCTATCCATCCAATAAATATCTACAGACTGCCTCCCACATGCAAGGCTGCATGCAACATAAACTGAGTATCTGGAAAAAGGTTATGCATCAGTTTATAGAAGATGTGTAATTTCAGATCCTTCTGGTATTGACACTGCACTTGTATCTAAGACGTTTTCAATATATGTATATATAATATTTTCTATAATTTCATAAAATTATACAATGTTGGAAGCCCAGAAAATCGACACAACCATTATGGAAACTAATATGACAAAAGTCAGCAATAGTTATATATGTATCCATACCCAGTGACCCAATACATTCATGGAGCTGTCCTGAATGAAATTACTCAAAGGAAGGAAACCAATTGCAGGACATTATCTATCATTGTAAAAGAAAAATAATAATTATCAAACGTCAAACATTAAGAGAATATTTTTATAAATTTTAGCACATCACCAAGGTAGAATAAATAGCTATTAAATGTATTTTGTAAAGAAGATACAGAAACATGGGGAAATCGCCATGATACAATGTTAAGTGAAAAAGCTGAATACACAATATCCACGTAGTCCATAAAGATGGACACAAACCGAAATGTAATCTGTAAAGATGGTAGATTTAGGAGTGATTTTTTTTTTTTAAGATTTTATTTATTTATTTGACAGAGACAGAGATAGTGAGAGCAGGAACACAAGCAGGGGGAGTGGGAGAGGGAGAAGCAGGCTTCCCGCGGAGCAGGGAGCCTGACGTGGGGCTTGATCCCAGGACCCTGGGATCATGACCTGAGCCGAAGGCAGACGCTTAACGACTGAGCCACCCAGGCGCCCAGGAGTGATTTTTTTTTTTTTTACTCTAAAGTATTTACTCACTGTATCTACCTCAAGTTTTAGTAATCATTATTTTCAAGCCAACCATTCTGATACTTGTTCCTTTAAGTGTTTTGGAAAATTTTTTGAAAATGTTAACGTAGGAGACATGAATGACTCATGGTAAGAAAACATATTCTTCCTTTCCCCACTGGCCCAACCTGCTTGTTGTCCTTAATGGTGTGGTGGTTAAGAGCACAGACTCTTGAGCCAGAACACCTAGATTCAAATCCTGGCTCCACCGCATGCCAGGTGGGGCCCTTGATCAAATTAATAAATAGCTTTGTACCTTGGTTTCCTTCCATGTAAAAAGAGGGATAATAGGTGGTTTCTGGTCCAGCATGCAAGGAATTTAGAAGCTGTCACTCTGTCCTAAAAAGTAAAGAGGTAACAAACTGAAAAATCAACAACTCTTCTTCAATCAGTCAGAGAAGTGAGAGCACAGGGCAAACCCCTGGCCCCAAAATTGGAGAGACAGACATAGAGATATAGAAAAAAACAGAGTAGGGGCGCCTGGGTGGCTCAGTCGTTGAGCGTCTGCCTTCGGCTCAGGTCGTGATCCCAGGCTCCTGGGATCAAGCCCCCGCATCGGGCTCCCTGCTCGGGAAGCCTGCTTCTCCCTCTCTCACTCCCACTGCTTGTGTTTCCTCTCTCGCTGTGTCTCTCTCTGTCAAATAAATAAATCTTTAAAAAAAAAAAAGAAAGAAAGAAAAAACCAGAGTAGAAACCCACAAGCAAAAACGTCCATGGGAGGCAGTGCCAGAGCAGGAACACCTAAACTGCATTGACGAGCTGCTAGAGGCTCAATGAGGACAAGTCTGAGAGTGAAATATTTCAGGGGGACCCAGTAATGGGGGGAGGGAGTGTCTCCACAGTTTTGTGAGTTACCTCCAAGAGGTTACCAAGTCCTCACAGTCAATATCAAAGAAAACTCCCCTGGTGCTTCTAGCAGAGAGAGGAGAAACCATCTTGAAATATGCCAGAGCATTCTAAACAAGATCTGCCCTCAAGAGAAACTATTTTACCAGAGCCTAACCTGCTGTTGTCTTATCAGAGTCTAAACTACCTGGGGGAAGGGAAGTACCCAACTCCAGCTCCCTCTGGCCTTACATGTGGAAGAAGCAGAACATCCAACCCCTGCCCCTCTAGCCACACAAGGTGGAGAGAAACTGAAAAGCACTGTTGAAGTTCATGGTCCTGGGGTGCAGGTTTACCAAAAGATCTTCTAATCAATCAGAATGCTTCACCACAGTTCCTTTTACCCAGGACACCATGTCTACTTTTCTTTTTTCTTTTTTTTCCCTAAAGTATGTTTTTGTTTTCTTTTTTTTAAGATTTTATTTATTTATTTGAGAGAGAGGGAAAGCACAGAGGGAGAGTGTGAAGGAGAAGCAGGCTCCCCGCTGAGCAGAGAGCCCAATGCAGGACTCGATCCCAGGACCCCGGGATCACGACCTGAGCCGAAGGCAGACGCTTAACCGACTGAGCCACCCAGGTGCCCCCGTGCCTAGTTTTCAACAATAATTTACAAAGCGTACTGAAAGGTAAAAAGCACAGTTTAGAGTGACTGAACAAGCATCAGAACCAGAGTCAGATATGGCAGGACTACTGGAATTATCAGACCAGGAATTTTTTAAAACTATGATTAATAATGCTAAGTGCTTTGATGGAAATAGTAGACAGCATGTAAGAACAGATGGAAAACGGAAGCAGAGATGGAAATTCTAAGAAAGGATAAACAAGATTTGCTAGGGATCAAAAACACTGTAACAGAAAGGAAGACTGCCTTTGATGGGCTCGTTAGTAGACTAGACACAGCTGAGCAAAGAATCTCTGAGCTTGAGGGTAAAATAATAGAAATTTCCAAAATTAAAAAGCGAAGAGAAACAAACTGGAAACAAAACCAAAAACCAGGATTTCCAAAAATTGTAGGACAATTATAGAAAACACATGCATAAGGGCGCCCAGGTGGCTCAGTCGTTAAGCATCTGCCTTCAGCTCAGGTCATGATCCCAGGGTCCTGCAATCAAACCCCACATCAGGCTCCCTGCTTGGCAGGAAGCCCGCTTCTCCCTCTCCCACTCCCCCTGCTTGTGTTCGTGCTCTCACTATCTCTCTCTCTCAAATAAATAAAATCTTTAAAAAAAAAAAAAGAAAGAAAGAAAACACATGCATAATGGGAATACCAGAAGGAAAAGAAAGGAAAAAGAAGCAATATTTAAAGAATGTAGTAACTGAGAATTTCCCCAAATTAATGTCAGACACCAAACCACAGATCCAGGTCTCAGAAAAGATCTAGTAGGACAAATGCCCAATACACTACACCTAGAGATATCATATTCAAGGAAAATCAGAATGAAAAAGTCCTGCAAGGAACAAAAGGAAAAAAAAAAAAAACCCACCTTTCTTATAGTGGGGCAAAGATAAGAATAACATGTGACTTTTCCTCAAAAAACATGCAAGTAAGAAAAGAGTGGAGTGAAATATTAAATATTTGAAGGGAAAAAAGCCCACCAACCTAGAATTCTGTATTCTAAAATTATCCTTCAAAAGTGAAGGAGAAATAAAGGCTTTCTTAGACAAACAAAAATTCAAGAAATTTGTTGTCTGTAGAACTGCCTTGTGAGAAATGTTAAAAAGTTCTTAAAAAAAAAAAAAAAGTTCTTCAAGGGTGCCTGCCTGACTCAGTTAGGGGAGCACACAACTCTTCATCTTGGGGTCATGAGTTCAAGCCCCATGTTCGGCACCGATATTACTTAAAAATAAATAAATAAATAATAAATAAATAAACTTAAAAAAAAGTCTTCAGAGAAAAGGGAAATGGTATAGGCCAGAAACAAATCCACATAAAGAAAGGAAGAGTATCTAAAAGAAGAAGAAGAGGGGCGCCTGAATGGCTCAGTTGTTGGGCGTCTGCCTTCGGCTCGGGTCGTGATCCCAGGGTCCTGGGATCCACTCCCGCATCCGGCTCCCTGCTCCGCAGGAAGCCTGCTTCTCCCTCTCCCACTCCCCCTGCTTGTGTTCACTTTCTCGCTGTATCTCTCTCTGTCAAATAAATAATCTTAAAAAAATTTTTTTGGGGGGGCGCCTGGGTGGCTCAGTCATTAAGCGTCTGTCTTCGGCTCAGGTCATGATCCCAGGGT